GTATTATTAGTATAATATAATATAGTACCCTTTCTGTATTATTTAGTATAATATAGTGTTCTTTAATATAATAAAGTATCGTACAATAAGAAATTAGCCTTCTAAGAACATAGATCAAGTTTATCAGTCCTTCCTTCATCGAAGCACCCTGCAAATAAAATACTTTCCCACCACATTGCTTCATCACTGCTAATTGAATGATCTCACACCTTAAAAATCCCTAAATTTCCCTTTTCCAACAGCATGCCCAAAGGCTTGGACGACCTTGGTGGAGTCTCCTCACCTGATGCTGTAGAGGACGTTGCCATTCCGGGAGATCCTCAGCAGCTTGTTGTCCGTGGTAATCTCGTGGAAATGGGCTCCTTTCTCGTTAGCAAAGAACAGGTCAGGCTTCCAGATGGAGTCCAGCATGGAGGGGTCCAGGTCCAGGGAGTCGTCGGGGTACTCGTTGTAGGCCAGCCGGGGGTCGTTCCACTGCTGCCGCAGGAAGATGTTCACCCTGTAGTCCTGCACACAGACACACAGCAGAGCTCAGAGCAGACTCAAGGCGCTGGCAGCTGGGGAGCACACACTAAAACCATCCTGAAATGAGCCAGACCACGTCCAGGCCTATGGCTCCCAAGCTGTGCCAAGTGGTTTTGGTATTATTCCTCAAGGAACTGTTATTAATTTTTAGCTTTGTATCTTACAGCTATGGCATAGCATGAGCAGCTGCCTGTCCGTGCATCCCTCTGTTACAGCAATTGTCAGCTGTGTGGGAAGGGCCAGGACCTCTCTGTCTGGACCCTGGGGCTGCAGAGGCAAGGATGGAAAGCAGAATGGCCACTGTCAGCAGCAGGAGGTTCCAGGGGGGAAAGAAACTGAAACCAGCTTCCTTTCAGTGCTGGACTGTCCCATATTGTGACTATCTGTAGTTCCCCCAGCACTGGGAAAGGAAAAGGAAAAGATACAGGGAGACAGATTGCCCATGAAAGAGAAATTCCATGTGTGTCTGCTAATACAAGGATAACTCAGATGAGCTGATGGGAGCAGCTGCCCTTGGTTAGAGTTTGTGAGCAGGAGATGGATGTGCATGAAGTCTGCTCTCCTAATCCTGGGCATTCTGGGTTCCCCTCTCTAATGTCAAAATGCCATAAAGGCAACAGATTTTATAGGGTGACCATCTTCCTTAATTGAAGGTAGTCCCTCAGCACTATGCAAAATTATACTTGCTCCATAACCATAAATTCCCCAGGTCAAGGCTGGCTGCTGAGACTGAGTTCAGACACTACTGGAAAATTAGGGGCAGTTTCTCTTCTCCCTGTCTGACCAACATCTTCCCATGCTCCTTTTCTTCTGACTTTCACATAAGAAAGTGAGCCAACAAATTGAAATGGAGAGAGGATGTGCCAGCTATCAGGAGAGGGATGAAAGCTCCACAACCATAAATTAATTGACATTTTCTAAGTATAGAGGCAGACTGCGTCTGAAGAGCAGCATATAATAAACCAATTCCACTGCCCAGGCCCAAATGAATAGTCCTTCTCATGATTAAGGGTTTATTTGCTGCCTTTCTAATATAAATGTACTTTGAAGACTTTTATTAGGACACAGTTAATGGAGGGTGTCTGATGTGCTTGCTGCTGTCTGCTACCTGCTGCAAGCACTTGGTGAGAGGCTCCCCTGACTCTGCCACCAGCTCTGTTCTTTCCATCTGGAGAGCACAGAGCTCTGGAGTTGAAGGGTGCCTGTGTAGGAGAGACTTTCTGATGCTGCTGCCTCAAGAGCTCACTTGACTGTGAACCTACAGCCTCTTGTCAGCAAGGACACAACTCTCGTGGTGTCCAGAGGCACTGGAGGGTTGGGAGAGGATGTTGCAGTGAGGTAGAAAAATCATAAAGAAAGGCTTCATAAAATCAAGCCTGCTCCCCTGGAACCAGTGCTGGCCTTGTCAAAGCTAGCACTTTGCAAGTTCTCATGTGAAGCAAATCTGGTGGGAGCAGTTTAACATAACAATCTATTCCTGGGTAAAAACAACCAGCAGCTGTATAAACTGTTTTTACACCTTAGATAGAAACATGAAAACTGTCTCTTATGAACAACTTTCCCTGCATGTACACACCAGGGGTTTGAGTGACCAATCAATACAGGATAACAACTTGTGACTAACCAATAAAAGTTGGCAAGAAAACTACTGACCAATTGGAGTCCCACACAAGGTCTGTAAAACTGTATAAAAATGAGTTATTTGAATAAAGAATAGCCTTTTTCCACCATGAAGAAAATGGAGTCCCGTGTGGTTTATTCCCATAAGAGGATTGTGTTGGGTGCTCTGTGTTTTGGGCAAGGCAGTTCTAGCCAAGCACATGGTCTGAAGTCTGTTTCAGGCCACTTGGTGCCATCTGCATCCTCAGAGCACAGGAGCTGCTAATGACATTAATGATTGTGACAACTGCAAATGAACCACGGACTTGACGCTAAAAGGAGCAGACCTCTGAACACAAAAAAGAGTTGCAACACTCTCCTTCTGCTGATATTCCAAGTGTCACCTTCACAAGTCCTAGTGCATCCCTCTGACTTAATTATTCATCTCTGTCGACCCTGGATAATGTGTCTGGAGGAAATGTGAATAGCTGGGGACAGCTGGGGACCAGGGCCTCAGCAGGGGCCAGCCCATCATGCAAGCCTGGAAAAGGAAAGGAGCCATGAAATCCCACTTTCCACAGCAGGCAGCAGCTCCCAGAGCTACCTGTATATTTTCAATTCTCTCTTTTCTGTGCATCAGGGTCTGCAGCCATTGCAGTCAGGGGAAATCAATGTCACTGACCTAATAGGTAGAAAGCAAAAGGTTGTTTTGCTTATTCAGCTACAAATAAGCTGGATGCTAGCAGGTCAGCTCCAGTTTGGGTCTTCTGTCATGTACGACACAAATTAAACTCATGTTTGGAAGAAACTTCAGTGGTAGCTGCCCAGAAGTGTGCTCAGCCTGATGGAGTAGTAGAAGGGGGGAGGGAATGGAGCCAAATTCCCTCCAACAGCCTGAGTTACTGTGGGTAAGCTTTGTTAATGGAGTAAATTCACTGCTTCAGCTCCAAAACTTGCCAAAAGGACAGGAAAGGGTGGGACAGGAGGTGCTGAATTGTTTATGTTGCCACCACAGCAACAAACTACAGGTAGAATGATATCCATAATCTTTGTAACCACGAGGAAGTATCTCAATTAAACACAAATGAAAATTAACCTCTTACAGTGAGAAGGCCCCTCCTAACTCACCTCCAGAGTGACAGTGACCTGTCCTCATGTCCTGCTGAGAGCAGTCCAGGGGCACCCTGTGAATGGGTGGTGGGAGGAACTGCCCCACTGCCACCCCAGGGATGTGCAGCAGTGTGGGGAGTAACTCTGGCTTGTTTTACCCTGTGCTCCTCCTTTGGAGACAAGTGTTAGCTGTGGATATTTTTTGTTTTGGAATACAGAAAACAAGGCTTTTGTGCTGTGATATAAAACGGGCAAGGACATAGAAATATGATACATGCACTGAATGCAATTCTCTGGCTTTGCCATTTCGGGGCATTAATATTTTACCTCTGTGTGTGCATTTATGCAGATCTTCCTTCTCAGGGAGTTTACTCCACAGTCCTGGCCTGCTCACTGAGAATGTGGTTTTCTCCCAGATGCCTTTGTCCTTATGTCATTGCACTGCAGTGTTGAAGGTTCTGAGCAGCCTTTTAGGTTTCTTGTGTCGAGCCTTATTTGAACACAAATGTAAAACCGAGCACTGTGACTGCAAACTGGACATGACACTGCCTGAGGAGCCAGCAGAAGGCATGGGGAGCAGCCAGGGTATGTCTGTGCTGTGACACAGGCTAAGAGAATGGTTGCAGTGTTCTGTTCCAGCTGAGCATCCTCTGTGCTGGAAGCTTTGTCCTCAGCATTGCAGTCAGGCTGAGAGGTGATGAGCCAAGCAACACTCACTCCTTGGCTACCTGGAGAGATGCAGCATTTCTCCTGGATGCTGTATAGGAGATCTTAATTAGCATCCCCAAGAAGTTCAGTTATTCCTAAATGATGGACAGCATTGGCCAATTTCTGATGTGAACTTCCAAGCAAAGAAAGAAGAGGTTTGACTGGTGCTGCAAACTTGGAAAAAAATAAATTCTCTTGCTCCATATCCTTCTTATCCCTCACATTCCTCATTTGTGTGCCCATCACATCCAGGCATTGATTATCTTGTGCAGCCTGCTCCTCTGGCTGGCTTGGGAGAGGGGAGCAGCAGCTCTGTGCAGTGAAGGCATTCAGGAGCTCTGCAATTTGGCACAAAGGCATTTTACTCCCAAGGGGGAAATGACACAAGGCAGGAAGAGAATAACTGGAGTGATCAAAGTAGTTCAATTTGATAATGCTGAAATGAAATTCTGCTTAGTGACCTCGCAAGGAGACAAGGAAACAGGAGATCATTTGAGACCTTCCCTTCCCAGGATCCCACAGCCTTGACATCTTGTGCTGAAAGCAGAGGAGGCTGGAGGCAGGCTGAGCAGGAGGGATGGAGCCCCTCAGGACACTCCATAGCTTTCCCCTCCTGACACAGGGGCTCTGCCAGAGCAGCCTCTGCACTGAACAGTCTTGGGGAGAGATTTCCCCTTTGATAAATTTACATTTTGCTGGTGGAAAAAACAGGGTAGAGAGACTGATCTCCTTCAGAAGGGGATTCTGGGACCTCAGCAGAGCATGAGGGGCTTTGTGAGCATTGAGTTAATTCTCTAGAATAGGAATGAACAAACACTTTGAAGGCAACCTGCCTTATCAGGGAGGTACAACAGACTGCAAACACACCAAGCACACCAGGAGCAGCCCTAGGAAGGTTTAATAGCCAAGTAGCCAATTTGAAGCCTGTGTGAAACCACACCTGAGCTAGGGGAGGAGGATTCTGTGTCAGAGAAGGGCAGACACCTGGTGAGGGGTGGGAGCAGTACCTTGGTGCTTAATAAATGTGGGGATTTTTATGCTGGAACCCAAACCAGAAAGATTTTTCTGTGTCTTCCTCCATAAAGTGGGGGATATATATCTTTCTGAGCTAGTAGAGCTGCTGGGATGGGAGCTGTAGCCAGCACCAGGATTGCAAATGTAGGTATTTAGTAGTGGGATCTTGTTTTTCAGCTTGGGGGGGTTTTTGTGTCCTTGTATTTGAGTTGCACAGTTGTATTTCATGGCTTCTTTTTGCTGTTTTTTCTTTTCCCCCTCCCTTCTCCATTAGTGCACAAGCTCCAATCACAGACAGCTGGAACACTGCAGGTCTAACACTGAGATGGCAGCAGACTGTGAGTAGCTGTGAAAACCTTTTCATTTTGTGTTGTGTGACTTGTTAGGTGCTTATCATCTCTGTGGGACTGATGGCTGGGTTTAAGAATGACTGACTGCAGGAAATTTTGCTCAAAACGTAACTTCTGCTATGGGCTTTGTGCATTGAAACTCATATATTTTGCTGATTTTGGAGTGAGTGGGGCCAGTATTAAATGTGGGACCCAAGTTCTTCATCAGAATCTCTGCTGTACTGTGGTTTGTGAGCCTTGATTGAATTTCCTGGTCTGCTTTGCAGGATGCTTTGTTTTCTCATTGGGAATCTCATGTGCAGATGTCTCTGAACAAGCACTTAACATTTGGACAGTTGCAGCCTCCAGCTTCTCCTGTCCCCAGGAGATGCTGGGAGCTCAGTTGTGGCTGTGCTGCAGCTGGCTGGAAGGTCACATTTGCTTTGCTCTTTTCAGATGAGATAACTATGGCATGAAAGCAGCAAAAATGAATTTGCATATTTACACTGTGTCTAAGGGAGGCTGTGCTTGCTCTTCTGTGATTTTTCTTTCTTTTTCAGTCTCTTTGCTGTGTGTGGATCTTTTTTAAAAGAAAAGTCTAGCAAAGCTCATCCTGAGTCCAGCTGCTGGCATTGCTAGGTGATGATATAAAAATGTATTCCTTCTTCTCCCCGTGCCTCCACTGTGTACAAAATGCTCCCAGTTGCCTAAGCCAGTGGAAGGCCACAAAACTGCAGCTTCCACTGGAAGAGTGAGCAGGGGCAGCACTTAATTTCAGTTTGCTGTTATAGCAGGGAATTTGTTAATGAAATGCTCAGATAATCCTATCTGTTGCCTCACGCCCCAAAGAAAAGCCAAAAGCTGGTGCAGTTTATTCACTTCAAACCCGAGACCTGTTCCCAAGGTGCTCCACTTCCATTTATTTGGAATGAGGAATTTGTACTTTTGCTATAGGTTTCATGGTCTGGTATGGCTGGGGAGTTGTTTATGCTTTTGAACAGCAAAAAGGGATTTAAGAGTTTGTGTTTGGGGGTTGTTTGGTGTTTGCCATTATAAGAATTGCAGAGAGTGGCTGCACCTTGCGCTTGTCCTTGGGAGCCCCTTGCTGTTGGATGCACTGGTGCAGTGATGCTTTGGGACAGGAGCTCTGGCTGTTGGGGTTGGTCCTGTCCCTCCCCTTGGAGCACAACAAGGGATGTGTTCCAGTCTCAGCCTCCCTTGTCCTTAGAGCTCCAGGCAAGTGGGGCTGGGTACAAGCTCTGAGCTGCAATCCAACATAAATGTCCCATCAATTATGTGCAGCACTAGAGGTTTTTATGTTGGGTCTCCAGCTCTGCAGGATGCTTAAAGGAGTTGCTTCCCTTGCTCTAAATCAGCTCTGCCTTAGGAATTCAGTTTGGTGGGTGACTTTGCCTTTTAATTTCTGTTAAATTCCCCCAAACCTTGAATCAGTTTTCAGATCTTCATTTCTTGCCTTGTTCATTTTGAACCTTTGTGGGGCAGGTAGCAGCTTTCTGCCCACTCTGGGCAGTTTGTGCCTTCTCTTGGCTGCAGCTCATTTTCTTTCCTTCTGAGGTTTGTAGACCCAGCTGTCTACATCAAATACCCAGGTTTTTTTCTATTTTTCTGTATTTTCTCCTCTTCCTCTACCCCCCATGAGGCCTCAACCCATAAGTGAGCACTCTCCCTCTAATTTCTCTGATCCTCTGCATGGTGAGCTCATGGTTTGCACTGATTTGTGATATTCAGGCAGTGTCAGCTTAGAGGGGAGCAGAGTATTTTCTCTAGGAAGTATCAGCCCACTATGGAGATATTTTAAAGCCTTCTCTGACTGCTTGTGGGGTACCCATAGAACCCTGTGACTTAGCAGGCAATAGTGTAATAGTAATGAAATATAAGGTGATGTAGTACTCGGACCTGAATCTGACCAGGCTTAGAGTGCCTAATAATGGGGGTTAAAATGAAATTTTCTTTCTCTTTTTGGCCAGTGAAGCAGCTGGGGGAGTTTTGCCATCATCAGTCCCAGGGGTCATTTATAGGCTATGGCTTTCTTTCAGGTAAAACACTGATTTGCCCCTCTCCATTTTCAAGCTTCCACCCCTTCCTCTGATGTTTGACCATTTGTTTGACTTCAAAATGGTCAGGCCTGTCTTAAAAACCCTTCAAGACAGGACAGTCTGCTTTTCCCAGAAGCTGTTTGGGAGCTGACACTGCCTGTTTGTCCTGCTGCATCCTCAAACAGCAGGGAGGGGCTGGCTGCTCTGCAGAGCAAATCCCAGGCTACAAAATCCCCAGGACCTCTCCAGCCTGCTGAGATCTCCTTTTCAGCTGTTCCAGTACCTGTGTTCTTGTGTTGCTGTTGGTGTTTACAAGCAGAGCTGCTGCTCCCACACAAGAGCATTAGCTCAGGCTGCGTGCTGCTGCGTCAGCCTGACATCTGGGCTGGCTTGTCAGAGCTGCCTCGGATATTTCCAGACAGAGCAATGTGCCCACAGGGTGTTCTCGGGCTCCCGTGGGGATTTTTTTTTCCCATGGAAGATTGCCTATGAAATGAGTGGCATCTGGAGATGATAGCAAGTCCCTGCAGCGTGTCTTGGAGGTGAACTGCATCTCTCTTGTGCTAGTCTGTGCTAATTTTATGGAGCATCCTGCTTACAGGGATCATGTGGCATCTTTGGCTGCTCCAGTGCATCTCACAGCGTGGGACAGATGCACTGAGAAACACTTCAGTGGGATGTGCTCTGTGCATTGCACAGATCCTTTGAGGGCTTGTCCTGCTCCCTCACACTCTGGGCTGGTGTGCAGGAACAGCATTTATTGCCTGTAAGGCCAAAGGAGGTAACCAACAACCAGTAAATTAGGAACAGATGTGTATTTCAGTGGCAGTTCTTCCTCTTTTGCTTTATATACCAATGAATCCACGCTGCACTCCTCACCTGTGAGCTCTGACAAATTCTGCAGGCCAGGTAGGAAATCTGTTTCCTTGTGCTTGGACAGAATAACAGCTTTTGTTTTCTCCTCCACTACCAGAACTAAACTGTCCCAAACCAAATATTTCCAGCAGAATGATGGAGTGTCAGAAGAGACTTACAACCTGAGCTGTATGGCTGTGCCTCTCCTCTGACAGTGGTGTGCATGCCAAGTAATTTGTTCAAGTCAAGGGCTGTGATCTCTATGCAAAGCCTAAATCTTCCTGCCTGAATGCACAGAATGCCTGAAGCTGGAGCCTGGCATTCTTCATTCAGCATTTTTCTAGAAAAAGAATTACCAGAGGGTAATTAAACACCATATTTCTGGATTATCTTTAATTAGCACAGCAGTAAGGCACAGTACCTCCAGAGTTTTCCTTTGCTGTTCACTGGTTATGTCACAACCAATCTTTAATAGTTTTCAGATGGAGCAATTATCTCCTGTTCTAGTGATCCTCTGCTCCTAGTGCCTTGCCAATTAGATGCAGCCTTTAGCCATGCTCACTAATTTTGTATGAAGTGAGCCTTAACTGAGAAATATTGGTTTTGATTTTCTACTAAAAATCATTGTCTACCAAAAATGTCTCCAAGAAAACAATCATTGTGGTCTTTAATAATTCTCTTAGTCTTTGGGAATTTGAAATCCTGGTGCAAGCTGAATTTGAGTTCAGCTGATTTGCCTTCTCTTTGAATCCAGATTAATTTTGGATTTATGCCCACTTAAACACAAAGTATCTGTAACTGTCGCTGAGCTTGGAGCCTCAGGCAAATCTTCAGAAAAAGATTATTTGTTTTCCTTTCTGACCCTTGTCCTTTGCTCATGGGGTGTTTTTATAAGATGCAGATGGAGACTCTGTGATTTTCAGCTACATGGAATGAGTCTTTTTGACCATTAATTCACTCAAACTTTGAGTAAGCTTGGGAGCACTGAGTGTTTTTTCCTGGTCACTCCGAGGAGGAGGGTGATGCTGCATTTTCTGGGAGTGCAGTGAGGCAGAGGCAGTAGCTGAGCAGCTGTGCTGTGATTTTTACTTACCATAGTTGTTTCTGCAATCGAGCCAAAGCTGTTGATGAAAATGTTGCAGCTGACGTTCACTGGTGGGCCTGCATGACAAAACAGATTGGAACAGCAGTTCAGGGTGTGCTTGTGGAACACAGGGTTTCCACTCTGGAGTTAAAACCTGCACTGGGAATGGGGGGAGCAGGGGAGGAAGGCCTGGGTGCCCTGCCAGGTCCAGCCTGGGTTCTGATGCTGCTTTGACACCAGAGAGGGCTCGTGCTCTGCCTCTGCTCCCCTCTTTGACAGTGTTTACAGATCTCTGCTCAGATGAACAGGAATAGATCAGAGCCAGCCAGGACAGTCTCTAGGTGTCTTGGTCTGGCTATATAGGGGTGGTAATTTCACCTTGAGTTTGATAGCAAAGTATCCCAGAAAGGAGCTGAGAGATAATTGACTTTTATTTAGAGCTGTACTTATGAAATAATCCCTGTTCCTGAACTAGGATGATGTTCTCCCTTCAAAGCCAGTGCAGCAGGGTGAGCTGTAGGGATCAGGCTGCTAAAGCAGCAAACACCCCACATGGTGATGGTGGTGTTGGTGGACACTGCCTGCTTGACCCTCTGCATCCTCAAACAGCAGGGAGGGACTGACTGCTCAGCAGAGCAAATCCCTGGTTACAAATCCCAAAGACCTTTCCAGTGTCCTGAGACCTCCTTTTCAGATGTTTCAGTACCTGTGTTTCTTATGTTGCTGTTGGTGTTTCCAAGCAGAACTGTCTGTAAACCCCAAACCCCAGGTGAGGACCCTGATCAGGGCTCACAGCTGGGTAGGAAAATTCAGGACTCTGCCAGCAGGAATTGTCTGCCTGTCCTGTTTGGGCAGAAGGTAATCCTGGTCTCTGGGCCATGCCTCTCCTGGGCTTGATTTGCTTTCAGACCAAAGATTTGTTTACCCTGTTCATACTGGAGAAGTTAAGGGGTCACCAAAGGAAAGGAGTAAAGGGATGACAAGATTGTGGTTTGAGGGCATGGGGTCAGTCTGTGTGGTACTGGTGCCCAAAGGTGTGACTGGAAGTGTTTCATAACATGGCTTGGGAAATCTGAGGTGGAAATGGTGCATTTCCACAGAGGGAGATGCCAAGAGCTGCAGTTCAGCACAAAGCAAAATGCTGGGGAATATTTTGGAGCCAGGGCATACCTGGTGCCTGGCAAACCTGTGGCTTGCTCACACATAATGAGATGATTTTTTGTAGAGGGTTGAAGCAAAAGGGGCCTCTGGAGGCTGCCAAAGGCTGCTGTGGGCAGTGCCCAGGGTGTGGTGGAGAAAGGCAGCCCAGGCAGAGAGTAGAGACACTGCCCCAGGGACCAAGGTCCCTTTTTCACCGGGAGTTAATCCCATATCATCCCTGAGACAGATGCTTCTGTGAAGATAAGATCTGTGACAGTAGAGAGTGTGGATTTTCAGATTATTCCCCCATTTTTTATGAAATCAGGGATGGTGTCTGCATTTCAAGCACTGCCTGGTGGCTCAGCCTGGTGGGGGAGTGATGTTCCTGTTAAGGTCACATCTGCAGTCTGGCAGTTGCTGCAGCATGAAATACTGGCGGGGAGGAATGGCTTTAACGAGAGCCTTGTGCCTCTAATCAGTGCAAACTTCCTCCTGTGTGGAAATTAATGGATTTTCCTGATTACTGAGGAACATTTAGAGCTTGGTTTTCTTCTCTTAATTTCTTTCCTCCTCTCCTGCTTTGGCCTCCTCTGAAAGTTTGTGTCTGTCCCCTGCAGTGATGCTCTCTGCTGGGTTTTCTTGGTGTGAGTCCCAGGCAATCTGAGCAGGCTGTGTCTAACCAGCACTGCCAGCTCAGCAGCATCTCACACTGCTCAGTCTGTGCAGCTTTCTCCAGACTCTTAAACACTGGCATGGCTTGAGCAATCAGACACAAAAATGTATCTTTTTTTCCCCCCTTGCCTTCACCAACCCCTCTTATCCAGAAGTTTATCCATAAGCTGAAAACACACAATTATCAGGCTTTAGTACTTGTTTAATCCCTTCTGTTGAGCTCAGGGGCATGGTTTTTCTCTTCTGGATCCATTCATGAACCACATAAAAGCTCTTTGAAAAGGTGATTCCCCTCCCAAAGGGCACAGTACAAGGAAAGCACTGAGCTGGTCTCCTGGATGACTGCACATGCTCGTGACTCTGACAGGTGGGGAATATTTTGGTCCCCCTGCTCCTGAAGCAGAGCTGACATGAGGCTGAGTGTGGGGTGGGTTTGGCCCCTGCATGTGAAGGCTCCCTGGGGCAGCCCAGCTCTTGTTGAGGCACTGAACTCTTCTCAGTGTATCTAATCCCTGCAGAATTTGGTGATTGTTGGTACATTTTTAGCTTGTGAGAGGCTCTAGAAAATTCCCTGCCTGCCACTGAAATATTCCTCCTCTCTGCAGGGATGCAGCTGTGGAGGAATGGAGTTTTCCAGCAGCAGGGATGAGGGCACAGCCTGGGTGAGAGATCCCCTGCCAGGCTCCTCTCTGTCCCTGCTCGAGCTCCTGACTTCATCCACCAGCTGAAAACCCAAATGCTACTTATTTGTTCTCAGGATGTGAATCTGCAGCTTTTCTGTAAATGCTGTAAAGTCTGGACTTAGCTGTGATCTTCTTTTTGTTAATCTTCCCCTCCCCAAAAATCAATCTGATATGGATCTTCGGTATTATTTTCATTTAGATCTAAGCAATTAAAATGTCCTTATGAGTTACTGCAGTTAATTTAAATGATGTGCTTTGAGAGCTACAACCCCAAGCTCTGTAAAACACCTCCTATGCCTCCCATATAAATTGGAGCCTGATTTATGTGTGGGAGGCTAAGCCAGCAAAACTGCCCTGAGGGGAAGGTGTAGTTCATTGAAATAAAACTGAAATTAAATTATCTCAAATAAAAATGCAATACAGCTGCCTTCAGCAGGAAGTGAATGTATACATTTCATTAAATATTAAAGTTTAATTTGTGTGTGTGCATAATTTAGAGGTAGGCAGGTTTACAGGGTGGTATTTTAACTCCTTGTGATTTGGATAAGAACAGCAGTGTCTTCTGTTGCCTGGTTGGTTACTGGGACAGAGTTTCCTACATTTCTTTGGGTTTAAATGCCCAGCACAGAGTTTATTGTTCAAAGCTGGGTGCCAGGTGCTGTCACCAGTGATTAATGGGTCCGGGGAATCCTGTCAGCCCTGCCAGTGGCTCCAGGGGAGAGGGAACTGGTTGCAGGAAACAAAAGAAGTCAACAAAATGATCTTTGGAGATGGCTGGGCAGTGGCTGAGAGGAGCAGGTCCTGCTTTATCTCTGGGTGTGATGTGGGGCCAAAGAACCCCGGGGAAGGTGAGCTCAGTTAAAAAGAAAGCAAAACAAAAAATCATAAAATGTTTTGAATTGGAAGAGCCCTTAAAGACTCTCCAGTTCCATCCTCTCTGCCATGTGCACGGACATCTTCCATTAGACCAGGCTGAAAAAACCCCACACTTGCCGGAAGAGGTGTTTTGAGGAGAAAAGAGGTTTTGTGGCCTCTGCCAGGGTTTGATTCAGTGCTGCTTGCTTGGCTGCCATGGGATATGGGATAGACTGGAAATCTGGGTGTGAAGCACAGAGCAGTGTTGGGCTGAAGAACCCCTTTGCTGTGGGGGACAGGGATGGGTTTGGGCTGCCCCTGGCATCTTGTGGGGTTTCTTTGGAGCTGGTGGGAGAGGCTGCTCTTGGCTGTAAGGGGGGAGCATTTCCTGCCATTAGTGGGTGCAATGAGTCACTGTGGGGAGTGACTCCAGGGGAAAGGCAAGTTGGGGATTTTATCTTTACCTGTAAAGAGGTTCAGCTTCCTGCCAGTCACTGCTTGGTTGGACAGGATCCTCGATCTCTATATTGAGATTGATACACTGGGATTCCCTGATCCAGGCAGGGACTGGGGGCCCCCTTGTTTACAGTATGTGAAGTTCTTACAAGGTTGTTTCCACTCTGAGCAGACATTTGTTGATGTCTTTCCAGAAATCTACAGGGACCCATGTGCCAAATATCCTTATAATACATACTTGGTAAGAACATAAATATTCATATTTCATACAGCATTAGGAAGATATTAATGAGGATTGGATGCAGTTTGCAATCCCAAAATGAGAAAAAGCTGGTTTTTTTGCATACCTTTAAAATTTGGTCTGATCCTGGCATCATATCCTGAAGTTCTCCCCATCAGCTTATCCAAGAAGTCAGAAGGAGACATGGGTTTGGGGGCTGATCGAGCTGCTGCTTCAGCTTCCTTGGAGGCTGCCAGGCTGTGCAAGTAGAAATAAAGAGGTTTCAGTGTGTATCCCATGCTGGGGAGGGCTTGGGGTCCAGAAACAGAGCAGTCAGCATCTTATTCCTGCTGAGGCAGGATGGGTACCCATGTGAATTCCTAATGAGGCTGGTCTCAGCTAATCTGTTTGCCCAGCCCAAACATCTCCAAATGCAGAATCCCAGCTGCCACCAAAGTAGAAGAGAGATGATGAGCAGTGAAAATCCTTTTGTGAGTTTAGGTATAGCTCCTTGGTGTGCCACTAAATTACAAATGTGAACTCTGGCGCTGAGCTCCACAGGTAAAATACACTCTGAGATTAGCCTTGGGCAGCAATTACTGCTTAATTACAGGGCAAATAGCAAGGAGCATATTCAGTACTCTGACAGTATGATTTTCCAAAAGGCAAGTAGGATCAGAGAAATCTGGAGTCTGAGGTTTAAATGAGCATCATGTGGTGCTACAGCTCATGCAGAACCTGTGGGGCTGGAGGGAGAGGGGTGGTTCTCCTGATCAGTCCAGCCTTTGCTACTGGTACCTGCAATGCAGGGTCTGAGTTCAACACAGAACTGGAGTGGCTGGAGTGTGAGCCTGCAGTTTTACTCGTGTTGAAGATGAAAGGAAATGGAATCTTTCTGGGACCTGTGTGGACTCAGGGGCAGAAAGAGTGAAATCACTAATTTATCTGTAGAAGACAAAAACCTATGGCTGGCAGTGTGCCTTCTGACTCGAGGGGAGTCTGCAAGATCTGCAGGGTGATGATCTGGGCTTAGGAAATCTGTTGTTGCCATCTACAGAGGAGCAAGTAACCTTTGGTATTAGGTGCTCATTCTCAGCTTTGCAGGAAGGTTTGACTCCCTAGACAGGAGCAGACACCATTCAGTGTCCTCCCTCTGGTTTTATGGTGTCTATTTCAACACCAGTCTCTTCCCAGGCTGCAAGTGTTGAGTAAAACTGCCTAGATGATCCAAAAAAATCCCACAAATCACCTATGCAATGTGGTTGGGGTGAGCCTGTGGGTTCAGGTGCCTGGTGCTGAGTAAAGCCTGCAGGCAGCATTGCAATGCAAATGTACAATGAGCCAAAGGAAGCTGCTCAGGAGGAAGTGAGTGCTTCACACTCTGCAAAACTCCTGAATTATTTAAGTACAAAGGCTGTGGGAATGGTGAGGAGCCCCTGATAGAGCAGCTGGGAGGTCTAAGGTAGTTTAAAACAGGCATAAGATATTTGGCTAACATTCCCCACAAGTGACACCAGGTCCTCTGACGGCATGGGGAACCCAGCGAGCAGCTGGGAGGTCTAAGGTAGCTTAAAACAGGCACAAGATATTTGGCTACACATTCCCCACAAGTGACACCAGGTCCTCTGACAGCATGGGGAACCCAGCTTGGGAAGTTTTGCAGCAGTGAGACCTGCAGGAGTGGTGCTAAGTACTGACACAAGATTTTTCTGGGAAAAATTTGGGACTGTAACTATGATCTTGCCCCCAAAGATGAGCTATTCCAATCTAAATTTGAGCTGAAACCTCAAAGAGACATGTTCTCTTGACAAAGCCTTGATAAGAGCATTTTGAACCATTTGAGTCCTCAGAACTTTAAAAAATCAGATGGGATTCAACAGTGCTTAGGTGCCTAATTTCAAAATCAGGGATCTGCTGACCTCCATTGCATTGACTTTCTTTTCTGGTGTCAGCAGTGATGGTTTGCCAAGCCTTGGTTTTCAGTCCTGCAAACTCACAACTGCAGTCTGGCTCCTTTTGCAAGTTGCAACAGAGTTCTCTGATTGCTGGATTTTTAACTGTTAAAAATAGTTTGATTTGCAGTGGAGAGGGGAGATTAATTCCAGATGGCTTCCGGTGAGAGCCTAACACTGGGATTTTGTTCACTCCTTTGTGTATTCCAATCCACTCCCTCCCTGGACCATTTCTGAACAGGCTGCTGCGCTTTCTCTCTGACAAGTTGTGGATCTTGCTCCTGCTACAACCATGTCCCTTTTCTTGTCTTGTCCCCTTCTCTGCCCCAAGAAAATACTGCAAAGCAGAGCCAGTGTGTTTCAGGGGTAAATGGGGTTGTGGAATGGGTGATGCTTTTTAATTTAATTTGTTTTTAGAAGGAAAGCAACAGGGTGCAATTGATTTGCAAACGCAGAAGAAAGCTGGGAGTGGGAGGACAATCAATACTGGCTTGACTACTGCATTCCAATGGAGTGTCTGCATGGCAATGAGTCCAGAGAAAAGATTTCAATTAAGCAGCAAATGACTTGGTAACCAAAGTCTTCTGCCACTTCAGCAAGATGCCAGACAGTGCAATACACTGATTTCTTCTCATTAACTGTAGACTGGATGAAGTATATGGAAATGGAAAATGTGTGTGGGAGGGGAGAGGCAATACAAACCTAATAAGCATCTAATAATCTTTAAGTGGAAAAAGATAATTAGAAACTGTAATTCCCCTGGCATTTGTTTTAAAGAATGAGGTGGAAAAGCACAGAAGTTGGTGCTCATCTTTCCCCTAAATTCAGTGTGAAAGCCTCTACTCGATATATTCACCCCACTTCCAATGAGTGAATCTGTATTTCTTGGGTGCCATTTTCTGATCCTTTCTGCATCAAAGCTGCAAATAAATTAATGTCATGGGCTCACTTCCCACATGGAAATAAATATTTGGATAACTGAAGCTCAGAAAGCTCTGGGAGAGGATCACCCTCTCACAGCCCCACTGCTTCCTGCAGCTTCGTGCCCATCCCTACAACCAGTCCCTGGCAGCACCTCTGGGGAGGTGCTGGAACTGTCACACCAGCCTTCAGTGGCTTGATGCACGTTTTAAAATCTGTCTGCTGCTGTGTGGCTTTACCTGGGCACAGTGAGTTCTGAGTTCTCTCCAGCTTCTGTTTGGTTACTAGATGCTTTCCTAAAACTAGACTCTCCCTGGATTTAACAAGAAAAGGCAAGAAAAGAGTGCATAGGGAGCAGCCTTTCTAGAAGCAGGCAGCTGAGTCTACTCTCTAACTCAGAAATAATGGCAGAAAACACCACTGGGATCTGCAGAGAGGCTGATCCACCCCACTGCTTTAGGTGGATGGATTTTACCTAGCACAGCCCCAAAATCTTCACTCTGGTTGTGATAGCTGAGCTTTGCAATGTCAGCTTAGCTCAGACAGCACCCAAAAAATCTGCCAGCTTCCTCTGTCCTCCAGGTCTGTCTGGACTTTATGTGCTGTCTTGGGAGCATTCTGGGATTTTCTCCATCCCTCAGTCCTTCCAGAACACCCTCAGAAGTCCCACAGGACTGTTTGTCTCCTGGCTCACAGACACAAGGAGAGGGGAATTGCCAAGTGATTCCAAAATTATTGGCGATGGAAGAGAATTGGAAATTTGGAAACATTGGGTTGTTGTGCTGCTCAGAGAGAAGATTTATTCTGTGAATAAACAAAGAGAGGCAAAGGCTGTAACAAACCCACCGAGGATGGAGTTTGCAGTGGTGTAAGAGTTGTCTGAGCCGAGAATCTCGGCGCATTTTAATAGCAGTCAGACAGAGGCTTATCTTATTTATGCTGCTGTAATCCCTAGTGGATCTGGCTGAGAAAGTGCCATCAGGCAATCATCACAGCAGCTACAATGGGAAGGATCTCTTCAAAGGGTCGA